AGTCCACAGCTCAGCCCACCTTTCTCTTCACCTTCTCCGTTTGTTCCCCAGCCACCATGCACAGTCCTCCATGCAGTCCCTGGCCAGCAGGGTGATTTTTAGGTTAATTCTTAAGTCCTACCACCACTCAGGAATCTGCAAGCTGTGCTGTCAGAATCACTCACCACCGCTGCCAGACCGCAGCTCCGTATGTCTCCTTTTTCGGTATTTTCATGCAAATTCTTCTGCTAGTTGGGGTTTAGTCCACTTCTATAACCTTCCCTTCAAGGCTCAGGGGTCCTGGATTATCTTCTGTGTCTGTGTTAACTGATTTCCCTTTTCTTTGTTGAAGAGGGTCTGTGCAGTCTTTCTGCCCAGTCCACCATCTTGCTGGAACCCATTCTCGAAAATGATTTTAATATGGGTATTCAAGACAAATTTGCTAGAATATTCAAATTTCACAATATCGTTTTGATCTATATTGGCAGTAACCAGTAATAATATGTACAACAGTGTGTCCACTGAAATGCAAATTATTAATGAAAGTCATTATTCCATTATACAATTTGATATGATGACAATTACATTTTGCTTTTCCCCAACACAGGCTATTTAAAACCAAATTACTTACAGGATTTCTTGGATCAGGCATGGTATAGAAAGGTCTTACAGCCAAAGGATATTTATCGAGAATATAAAAATCTGTATCATACTAGAAAAAGAAGAAATGTAATTAGAATACATTTTTAAAAAAAGGTTAATACAAGTAACAAGGTGGTTAACATTTTGGTAATTAAATTTCTTGTTTTTTTAATACATTAATTTTTGTTCTTCAAAATTACTGTCATCACACTGTATATAAAATTGAATATCCTGCTTTTTTCATGTAACATATGAATTAAAGCATTTTGCTATGATGTCATGAATTCTTCTAATATCTAATTTTTAGGAGCTGTTCGGTATTCAACCATGGTGCAAAAAGTTATTTTTCAATATTTTGGACATGTAATCTTTTCCCAATTTCCCCCAGTCATAAATTATGCAAAACACCTTTGATTTTCATTTTTTACCTTTGCTATTCTGGCTCATTTAATCTTTAAGATGGATTTTATAATTATTTTGTTCAATTATCCTAAATCTCTTTGAGTTTAACTAAAACTACATTAAATCTATAAATTATTTTGTGAAGAAATGATATCTTTTACTGTACTCATCACCAAAAAGTCTGCCATATTTTCCCAAAAATTATTTTTTTAATATATCTAAATAAAGTTTTGTAGTTCTTTCCAATTAAAACTGTAATTGAAATAAATAAATAATATTAACATGAAATGTTAATATTTTTGCTAGAAAGAATACGATTTGACCTAGATTTAATTAAAAATAAATCAATTAACATTTCAACTGCTTTTGACCTTAACATTTTTGCTAAAACTGGAGATCAGAGAGAATGTATACAGAGCTGACAAACTGGAATTGGCTCTGCTGAAAAAGCATTTTTCATGGTACAAACTCAATATTGTAACAATTTAGGAATGTCTGACGCTCCCTAGTCAGTGTGGCAGTTTTGACTACAACCAGCAGGAGGAGCTCAAGAATTTCATTATAATTTCATTATATAGTCTCTAAAAAAGACCATAGGATGTTTGGTTTTTATCTTCCTTAGAGTTTTAGAAAATATAATAGAAAAGTAGCTTTCATGTAAGAGGAAGACAAGAAGCACATTCCTTTCTTCCTCAGAGTACTTAGAAGAGACATTTTCTAAATAGTTTTAGTTTCATCAAATTATTTTGAGGTCCTTTCTAATAATCTGACATAGATACCATTTTCAGAGACACCTTAGTACAACTCCTTGGAAGGAAGGGTGGGCAATCTACTTCCATAGTGATACTACCTGGGAAACCCAGGAAGGGATTGCTATGAGTTGGATCCAGCTCCATAGCAGTGCGTTTGGTTTGATTAGTACAACTTTGTACAAGTTGGGCAGAGTCTATCTGAGTATTTTTCAATCTTCTAAGAAGATTAAAAAAAAAACAGAAACAAAAAAACCCCTTTCTTAGTTTATTTATTTATTTATCTATTCTGGAACCATACCACACCAGAGAGATGATTTCCCTCTGTGACCGTTTTTCAGTACCTGGATACATTTCAGATTTAGAAAAAGAAATTCAGAGCTAACAAAAGTGCCTTTACCTTTTCCTTTACCAAACGACCCAACAGTTTTTCATTTGGTGTGCTGGAAAAGAAGTAGGAAATCAGGTGTTTAAAGATCAAACAGTAAGTTTAAGAAAGTACCTATTCTATATGAAAGTTCTCAAAGAATAAAAAATTCAGCCCAAACACATAACTGCCTATCCCCTTTCCTTTTTAAAAAGACAAGCCCTACTGAAAACCACTTATGAATGCAGCCTGTGAGGCAGACTCAGTGCTTAATAGGGGTTGCTGCTCAGTAACATTTAATTGAAAACCATGAGCAGAATTTTGCAATTCACTGATTCAGAAATATCATGGATGAAACAATTTCCTACAATACATATAATAAAAGATCACACCATCTCAACATGAGTTACTCTGCCATTAAATGGTTCTACTTTTAAATGATTTTCCTTTTGCTTTTTATTCTTTATGGAGAGTTTATAAAATAAAAATCAGTATTTTACAAGTCTCCAAAATGTAAAAGTACTCATATAAACACATTACATTTCCACAGTCAAGAGGTAACTACTTCAGTTTCTCTCTTTAAGAACAATTTCAAAAATACTTAAGAAAGTCTAGCCTAACTTAAAGTAACTTGAGAGTTACTTTAGACACCTAATGAAATGTCAGCTAGCAATATAGGGGCTACTTAAAATCATTATTGTTCTTTTGTCAATCACACAAAACTAAATAGAAAAAAGTTCAAGTTTTTGGTGGCATAGTGCCTAAGACATCTGACTGCTAACCAGAAGGCTGGAGGTTCAAACCCACCAGCCACTCCTCGGAAGGAAGGTTGGGCAATCTACTTCCACAGTGATATCTCCTCGGATACCCAAGGAGAGGTCGCTATGAGTTGGATCCGACTCCACTGCAGTGAGTATTCTCTCTAATACCACTGACTTTGGGGGGAAAAAAAGTAACAGATGGTAAAGTCACAGGCAAAAGTCTCTGTACACCTTAAAGGGTTGTAAATATGAGGGGAGAAAAATGACATTTACAAACAAAATTACTGATGTTTAGGCAAACAATATTAAACAATATTTAATTTCACATCACTTATCAAACAAACAAAAAAAAGCATGAGTCTGTATCTCAAAGTCAATAAAATTGAAGTTTGTCAGCTGGGTGAAGAAACCAAAAGAAAACATTAATATACTCATTCTTTCACATCCTAAATAAAATTACTAAAGTTTAAAAAATCACAAAAACAAACCTCAGATCTTCTTCGTCTCCCATTTCGATTCCAGCCTCCCTAAGCATAGCCAATGCTTCACAATACTCTAGTCTTAAAGTTGGCTCCAAGAACTTGAATGGCTCACATGGGAATTGTTTATTCACTGTTTGAATTTCAGTCTGAAACCTATTTGTACAATGATTTAGAGTTAATAGAAATGTGTGAGATAAATGAGATAAATGACCACAAGAGGTCACTGTGGCAATACAAAAAAATCATTCTTTGACTGTTGTTGTTGTTATGTGCCGTGGAGTCGGCCCCGACTCATAGTGACCCCTCCTTGGGTTTCCGAGGCAGTATCACTACGGAAGTAGGATTGCCC